GTTCTGCAAGACTCAAGCCCCATTTCCACCAGCCCAACTTAGCTCTACCCTGGGAGTGTTTCCAACATCCCTGTTTAACAAGTTGGCCCTGGTTCTATCCAGACAGAGTTGGTACTAGTGTGCTAACTGAGTGCTACTGGAAGCCATGGCTTGGAGTGTCCACGGGTATTGGTTTATTGTGGGTAGGTTACAAGGATGTGGTAACAGATACTAAAGCGTAATGGAAACGCAACCAGGTAAAGTAAAGTAGAGTAGGGACAAGTAGGGCTGGAGGAAACAGGTCTATGGTTTATTAGCCTAATAGCACAGTAGAATATTACAAATGGATTTAGACGTTGCTTTCGCATTTACCGTCTCTGACAGGCTCAGGGTCCGAGTGACTAGTCAAACTAGTCAAACAATATGAGCAAAACTACCCATAAACAGTGGAGGAGGTGCCAAAGGAACCATTACGCCTAAATACGAGGCAAAAACCTCAAGTAGAAAAGTGTTGGCTGCTCTTACTTTGCACTGAAAAATTAATAACTGTTTACTCACATAAACATTTTAGAGGTAGAAAGGTTGAGTTAACTTTTGGTTTTGTTAGAATTTACATTTTGATTGCATTCTCTATAAATATTTTGGTAATTAGCCACTTTGCACTTCTTTTTGCACTCTGGTTTTGTAATGTCAACTAGAGACTGTGCAGTTACTACACTACCACTGCTACTACTACAGATTTGACCTGACACTTGTCCTGAAAAGAAAACGCAACTTGGTGCCATTTCCACATGATTACATGATGTCTTTACAAATACTAACAAAGCCTTTAGACATTGTGTCAAACGGGGTTACCTTCTTTTTTTTGCTCCAGACAAGCACATTGAGCACGCTATTGTGAAATATTACATTTTCACCATGTGTCACTTGACCTCTAAGGGCCTGGGCGTTCACACTGCTCTGGGCCAAAATCAATTACACCATTCAAATGTGGTGTCAAATGAGACAGGTCTAAGACAAGGTCACGTGACAAGATGTTTTGGTCTGTCTTACTGAGTCCTCCCTGATAATTACATCAGGGAGATGTAATGGAGTGACAGACGTCTTTGTTGTGATGCGCCTCCAAGGATGTGTAAACACTCTTAAATCTCTTCCTTGGCAGCTATTCATAAAGTCTCATAGTGCAGTCAATGAGGATCAAAATTCAATTAGAAAGGCCTGGACAAAGTAGGTCAGTGTTGTTTACAAGGACCTCACCCATGCTCTTTGTGCGCACAAGTCAAGCATCCTGTGGCCTATAATTGCTGACATCAACACCAATCAAATCAGTCAGGATAAAAATAAAACATGCACCTGAAATGCTTCCAGTTAGAGCCCAATTTGCTTCGTAACGCACAATAATTCTTTAAAATAACTAAATTGTATCAAATTATGTCACTTGTAGAATTGCACTGTATGATATTGCTTTGTATTGTGTTGTCTTTTGTTGAATGGGTGGGAGTGGATTGGGATTGCATAACATTCGCTACACAGACAAAAAAGTTTGCGAGTATGAGGCTGCAGCGGACTGACTTCAGATACACCCTCTGTTGAAGCCTGTGTGAAGTGACACCAGGCGCTTTTCATCCCAAAATACGAGCCAAGTATATGTTTCATGCGCGAGGCATGAGCAGTGACACAGCTCTCAGTCAGAACACATAAGAAATAAGCTTGTAACTAGATAAGCATTACACATAACAGCCCATAACACTTGACATTAGAAAAAGGGCTGGCAGGTTTGACGATGATTCTAGACATTGTTTTCTTTCATAAATAAGCCACAGACCACAGACACCATGAGGACTAACACATATATCTGACTTTTGCTGCTATATAGCATTCCTCTGCGTTGTTCTGTCCTCTATACTTCTCCACATCAGCAGCAGCAGCAGCAGCCGCATACACATTATGTATTTGTGTATCCGTTTTAAACTGTGTTTGTGTTTATGTTGATGTAATATGTACAGGTTTATAATAAAAAGTCAATTTGTGTGAGTCAATTTACTATTAGCAGGGTACTATGATAATCTGTATCTAATCTAATACATGTGATTACTAAATTATTAACAATAAAAAACTAAAATTATGTTGGGAAAAAATGTATAAGAACAAGAGGTCTTTTCTCAGTAAAGGGCATTTTAATACACAGGAAGAATCAGTGTTGTTTGAACAATCCAATTTATTTAAGGGAGACATAATATTCAAAATCAAATGTTGTGCTTTAAACAATGTTACAACGTTACAAGCGACGATGTTATAGTTGTTGCTAACCAAAATGAATGCATAATAATTATTCTTTAAAATATACTGCCATGAATGCATGGATCGGTGAAAACGGCTGTTTAGAGGCTGACAATAGCAATCTACACAATGGAGGTGAGATAAGAGATGGCCACTGATGTTTCAATCCAATTACAGTTTAGTGCACTCAGTGGCGGCGGCACTATCTGCATCACTGACCTATCAATCTCATTATAGGCTGGAGCTTGCATCTGTTTAATTCACTCAGATTTTCCTTGAGAGTAATGGTCCGGCTTATAGGGGCGAATAAGGCGGCTGTGATGCAGAGATGTATAGTTACTGATCTGTGCTCTTATGTAATCCACCCCCTGCTGAGGAGAATGCTTTACTCCAATAGAGTATTATGGGAACAGGGTGGGCACGGACCAAGCAGCACCTTTGGGCCAGTGATGAACTGTTCTGTCAACTCTACTTCCTGGTTCATTAGCCTTAAGGTGTATTCAAGATACAACCGCAACTGCAGTATTAGTGCTAGTTCGTAGCGTAGGGTACAAAATCTATATTTGGAGCAAACATTTTCCTTCAACATTTTAGGGTCAAACTTATTGTTAAAGTTAACAATATTTTAATGGTTTTGTGCACTAGAAATTCCTCAAAGTTTAACTTGACCTGTAACAAACATGGTAAAATTCCACTTGCCCCAAATGTTTTGGTTTGACCTATCTGCACCATTGGCTGCAGAGAGGCTTTTTGCACTAAACCAAAATTGTGGAAAAATTGTAGAAGTGGAAAACTTGTTCCAGAGAGAAACACTGGAAACATGTTGGTAAAACATATATATTTATGTACAAATACACAAATTTGCGCAATAGATCGCCAAGTCTGGTTCTTTGTGATTTGAGCAAAAATGGAAGAGCAGCAAAAGCAAAAAATAGAAGCAGAAGAAGTGAAAGAAAGTAGAGGATCAAAATAAAACTACAGTGGAGTACAGTACACATTTTTACAGGAGGCAAACTTTTAGAGCGTGCACTTGGAGAGCACATACCCTGCCAACTTAACTCCAAAAATCAACTCAAATCAAAAGTTTGTGTGCAGTCCTGTTTACAGACACAAACACAAACACACACACACACACACACACACACACAAACAGACACACAGTGACGATAACAACATGATAGCTTCCTGTTGGCAGGGTAATAACAAAGTATTGCTCAAAAACCCTATGAGTCGCAACACAGAGATCTAACACTAATGAGAAGTCTTTCTTCAGTTAAAAGTTTGTGGAAAAGCGTAGCACCAAAAACCTTATCCTCAAAGTGAAGCAACATTTCCGAAAGATGTAAAATAGGCCATCGCCATCAAAGTGCTTCCTTGTCATGGCCAATTGAGCGCAGTTTGTACAACCCAAGCAGAGGTAAGAGGCAGTGTAATGTGTGAGTGATGGAGTGGAAAAGTGGGAAAAAGGAGCAGGTTAATTCACTGCCTGTCCTCTGAAGCAGCGTTGAGTAAATCACCATCAGTTTATGAAGCGCCGTTGTCTTTGTAGAAACAAGCAACTGATTATGAATTCCGCCGGACGCTGAAAGATCTGACAGAGTAGTTTTTCCTGGCTATTAGGCTTCCCAGCATCCTCTCTGCTACCTCGTGATGAGATGGAATTGGTTTGCGGGTCCCAAAAAATGAGCACTGACATGGTACGCTAACACAATGTGACTGCAGGCAAATGTAGGCAAAGCAGTTTCATTCGTACAAGTCGTTTTGGATCAATATTACATGAGAGCGCTACCTTTAGCATTATGATTAAAAGAGATGTAAGAGGTTCATGTGCGGCATAACTAAAGTGGACGTGCCAATGCGATGCAGTCAAAGGTACAGTGTGTGTGTGTGTGTGTCACTGTATGCAATATCATCTGACAGTTTGGATAGGGATGGAATGGTTTCATAAATATAAGTTTTAATTTTCCATTCAAATTGTGAAGGAAATAAATGAAGGAATAATTAAGGAAAAATTATGTAGGAGGGTGGGTTTGTAAAATAATCTGGGAAAACATTTGAACGCTTTTTATAAGAAATTTAATTTGTGAACAATAGGAGTATGACGATATATCGATATCGTGATACTTTCTCACGCGATCGATTATCAATATGCTTTTGCCAAGTATCGATTATAAAAAATGAATTAAAAAAGACAAATTAGTATCAATACTTAATATATGGCTACATTGCGCGTCTCCATTCCATTTATCATGAAATAAAGTGTTTTTTTTCACTTAGTTAATAACTTACACTTATAACTATTTCGTGTTTATTCAGAATTCCATTAGTAAAAGATTTCTATAACAGAATATTTCTGACCAATATATTGATAATCATCATATCATGATATAATCGTTATCGTGAGCTTTGTATCGCGTAACGTATCGTGAGGTACCCTGAGGTTCTCACCCCTAGTGAACAATGTAAATAATGAAAATGTCTTGTTAATCTTCAATGATACTAAATGTTACTGGTCTACAGTGGATATTAAGAGAGTGATGCGTAATTTAGCTCCCAAAAATGTAAGTAGCCATTAAAATAAACCATACAGAATTAATGCTAAAAAAAACACAAAATATGTTGTTGCTGTTGACATTTTTGGAAAATTACATGGATTTCTATTGACTTCCAGCCTTCTTTTTCCTTTCAGTCGCAGCCAGCATTGACCCTGTCTGAAGTGAAGGGCCAAAGAGCACATCCAATCAGCCGACGCAGCAGACAATATCAAAGAACTGCAAATGGTATGGCGAGCGCAGTGCACGTGACACGGGCGGCGGAGGACGGGCGGAGGCGGGCGGAGGCGGGCGGAGGCGGGCGGAGGCGGGCGGAGGCGGGCGGAGGCGGACGGAGGCGGACGGAGGCGGGGGGAGGGGGAGGGGGAGTTGTATCTAATCAGTCAGGTCCTCAGTCTTTGCATGAGTCACCACATGGCAGATCAGAGCATCCGGGACACTGGGTTCAGATGAGTTTCTCAAAATGGCAAAAGGAGATTATGGAGTTACACCAGTGATGAAAGACATGACTTTGCACGGTGGCTGAGTGGATAGCACTCTCGCCTCTCAGCAAGAAGGTCCTGGGTTCGAATCCCGGTCGGACCAGGGCCTTTCTGAGTGGAGTTTGCATGTTCTCCCCGTGTCTGCGTAGGTTTCCTCCGGGTACTCCGGTTTCCCCTACCACTAAAAATATGTCCAATAGTTCTGGCATGCGCCTCCTGTACTGGCGACCCCGCTCCCATCTCTGTGTGGAGTGAGACAAGTGCCCAAAAATAACAATTGTAAACCGCTTTGAGACTCAGATCTGCAGTGAAAAGGCGGTATATAAATAAAAACTTACTTACTAAAAACTTACTTACTTACTTACTTACTTTGAAGTAATCTGGTAATCTGTCATAGGGTTAACGCTCTCTCAAAAACTCTCTCAAAAACTTACCAACAACACCACAGTAAAGGTTGTTGTTCAACTTATACAATGTTCAAATTAAAGCTGGGGTACCTAACTGTCATGTCACATCAATTGGAAAGTAATCAAATCCATGTAACTCGTTCCTTGCTCACAGTTTGTTTCTATCTCATGCATGTATTATGTCATATACATGCATGAGATATAAACAAGCAGACAAAAAAGTGAAAATGAGAGGACGACCGCATCAGTTCTCAGCTCAAAGAATCAAATATGAAATGTTTTCCAATAAGATGAATTTTCAGATTTTTTCACCATATTTTACTTTTACAAGATTTTTTTTGTTGGGTATTTTTTGTGATCAAATAGTTAGGAGCCCCAGCTTTAAACGACTATAACACAGGATGTTTCTGTATTCCAGTAGCCATTAGATAATTACCCAATCCAATACACTTCAACTGATGTCATAGATTTCTTCGGATCAATGCGCTTCATTCAAGAGCGCAGGATGATGAATGGATGATGAATGAATCAACAGATCAAATGGAGGAAGCAAAGCCGTGAGCGAGGAGGTGGCATGGAAACACAATGGCGGGTTTTGGGGGTTACCTGCATGACCATCTGTTGCCATGCGTGGGGCTGGTTGGCCGTGGCATTGGCCTGCGGAGGCAGGTTGGCTCTCTCCAGCTGGATGTTGACATTACGGCGCTCCTCCTCCAGTGCACGGGTGAGCTGTTCGAAACGGGCCTCCTGCTCCTTCACTGAGGCCAGGATACTAGCAGCCGAGCGAACTTCATACTCCTCCATGTCGGCCGTTTAAGGGTTCAAAAGACTTCCGGAGTAGGAAGAAAGAAAAGGGAGGAAGGAGGGGTATAGGAGATCACCAGGTCAATACAATAACTCTGAAGAAGCCTGACCCATCACCCTATCATGGCTTATCCCTTATTGAAAGCAATCTTTGAACTGAATTCTTGTAACTATCTATACAACGTGAATGTTAAATCATGGCTTTTTTGCCTTGTGTATGAACTGCGCAATACAAATAAACTTGCCTTGGCTTGTCAAATCAAATACATACTTAATCATCATGCTAGTATGGACATAGTAGTTTGGATTGGTTAGTGTCTGTTAATTAAGCCTTAACCCTTTACGCACCAAACTGTGAAGCCTGTAAGAATCATAAGCAATTGGGAACTGCTAAATTCAATAACGGAAAAAAATATTATTACAAAAATGCACAGGCGCTGTATAGGTTGCTGTACTGAAGGTGTCCTGGATGAAGGAGCTCATGCAATTCTGCCTATTTTGTAGGGCTGTCGTCGACCAAAGAAATTGTCGACCAACTAAACAATTGCCCTGTTGTTCAATTATGTGACTAAAAAGTGGGCGTGGCAAATGCTCTAAATAAGACCACACTGTAGTCACAAAAATTTAATTTATTGAAAAAATAAACGGAAATCAGTGATTATCAAGCATCTTCCCATTATTGCAGTTTTAACATAGAAGATATCTCAAAATAAATAAAAATAAGCTATTAAAGATTACTAATTTGGTGCCTAAAGGCTTATAGGGTTAGCATGACAGGTACAACTTTATGAATGCGCTTGTCACACTCCAATAATACTTTGCTACAACAAGGGCTAGAAAAGTTTTCCTCTCAAAAGAGGAGACTGAGCCTGCTGGTTTCCAAATATATCTTGTGAATAAAAACTCCCTACTACACGTAATACAAGTCAACACAGCATGTGAGAACAGTGGGAAACATGACCCAACAATGCAACAACACAAAGATGGATATTTTTAACATTGGGTGCAAATGACCAGACATAATCAACATGGAGGAATGCCGCTGTCACCCGATACTGTCATGCTCCGAGCCGTAAATGCATTTTGACACACACGCACTATTGCAGGCTTGATTCCAGCACATGCAAGCCGCTCATAACCACCTGCAATATGCTGTAGTTTCCCAAGCTTGCCACATACATACAAGCATACACACCGTCCATTATCACAAACAATCATGATTTTGGGGGCAGATAAGTCAAAATGCAGTATCGCTGTCACACATATGCCCTGATGTGTAAGTGATGGTGGCGGGATATCAGGGGAGCTGTCAGCACAGTGACAAATGGGTTTGGAGGCAGCGATCCACAGTGTTATACAGACCTATATAAGCAGGTATTGTGGTGTTAGCAAAAAGACATCCCCCACTGCAGCCTGGGCAGAGGGACAAAAAGAGAGGGGAGAGCTGGGAAACAAGGGAGAGAAAAGAGAAGAAAATCACAAGTTAAATGAAAAAATAACAATGTTTACTTGCAGAAGAACCAGCTTAAAAGCATTACAAAGTGTGAAAATGTTCTCCTTATTCACGGAAAGGCTGTCATCCCACGGCTTCCATTAGTATTTTCATGAATTTGTTTTTAAAATGCTGAAAGAAATATATTTTGGATTTGCCTATTCAAAATGATGTGGAACTTCTAATTCAACGTGCTACCCCAAAATAGATTTGATAAAATCCCATTTTTGTAAAAGTCATTCATTAATCAACATCTGTAAGAAACATACCACAGAGCACACATTTTAATGAAGTCAAATGAAAGATTTAACAATATTGTTGTGATGTTTAAGAACTTTAAATCTCTCCTTTTGAAGTTGGGCTACCTAACTTGTGAGTCACTATTTGACTCTTTGATTGGCTGACTGACGGTGGTCCACTCTTTTTCACATTTTGAGGAACTAGACACATAGATTTTATTACATAGTTCAACTTTTTGGGTTTGAAAGGTACCCCAGCTTGAATCATACACACTGCTATCTTGCTGTTCGATTGATTGTCTCGATATGAAAAATATACAGAAAAAGATGACTCCCTATGCCAGCTCATACTTATTCATCAGGCAGTTACTAAAAAAGCATTCTATTGACTGAGACGCCATGTTTACATCAAAGCATTGTGGAAATGATGTGACTGATGCCACTGAAGCGGGCTGAGATTGAAGAGGGGTCTGGCGGGCGCTGATCAATGGCTACGCACCCGCTCGCATGTCAAACAGCTAACGTTACAGACAGGGAGAGAGCACAGTGACAGCACAAACACAGTGCATCCGTCATTGTTGTGTGTGTGTGTGTGTGTGTGTGTGTGTGTGTGTGCACTTGTTTTCAACTCCTGGTGGGTTCCATAACCTGAGATTCCGCTCACGTCATGGGGACTGGTTTTACGTGGTGGGGCCCGAACACCGGACCCCACTGGTCCAAGCTTAATAATCAATGGGTAATGCTTTTCTAACGGTCCTTATGCAGTCTCTGTAAAAATATGGAAAGGACCCCTGGAGGTTTACTTTCCTGAAAAAAGTGTGTTATGTGTCGGAACCCTGGTGGTGGGTTGCGGGATATCAAGGAGGGGCACACTGGGGCAATTTCAGTCCAGCAGGCTGGAGCCAATCATGGAGCAGCACAACAGAGGAAATCAGGTGTCAGGCTAGAAAAAGGTGCAAGTGTGTGGTTCATTAGGCTGCAAGAAATCATGGAGGAGCACACTGAAGCGCACGCTTACAAACCACTGGTAAGTGCTGACTACAAGTCATGACTTCAAATTGTTATATAGAATGATTACAAATTATTTGTTGTTTGTGCAGCTTAGTCAAGAGTCCCTAATTGATGAAGTTGACTCAGATTCTGACGATTTAACTGTCAAGAAGAAACCTGTAAAAAAGTATGGAAAAAGAAAAATCAAAAACACTTTTCTTCAAGACTCGGAAAGTGACGAACCAAAGGCAAATAAGATTGTTATCATGCAGCTGCAAAAGAAGAAAAATGGGGGGCGAGTTTATAGCAAGAGACACTTCTGCCTCTACTGTTCAATGTCCTGCCACAAAATGTCCCGTCATTTGACTAGAAAACATGGAAATGAAAGTGACGTAGCCAGAGCATTGGCTCTACTTGTGAAATCTAAAGCACGTAAACTTCAGTTTGATTTGATCAGGAATAGTGGAAACCGTGAGCACAATTTTGAGGTTTTAAAGGCCGGCATTGGAACTTTAGTCCCAGCTAAACAGCCAAATTGCCCAGTTAAATCCAGTGAGTTTTTGCACTGTATAGACTGTGGGGCATTGCTTAAGCGAAAGTCGCTGTGGAGGCATGTGGCCAGGTGCCGGCTTTCACAGAAAGATGCCCAGGCTAAACCAGGCTAAACCAGGTAGAAGTAGGGTCCAGTCCCTCTGCTCCCTAGCCCAGCCTGTACCGGAGGGCATCAGCAAAAAGCTGTGGTCTTTAATTTCGGCAATGCATCAAGATGAGGTCACGGGTGTTGTCAAAGCAGAAAAGGGGATTCTGAGACTCGGAGAGCACCTGTACTTAAAACACGGGCATGATAAGACTAAGCATGATTACATTAGGCAGAAAATGAGAGAAGTCGGTAGGTTAATTAACGAAGCAAAAACTGCAGGGAAACTGAAAACAATTAAGGATTTCTTTATTCCTTCCAACTTTAACCATGTGATTGATGCAGTCAGGTCTGTGGCTGGATATGATGAGGAAACAAATCAATACAAGACTCCATCCTTGGCCCTCAAACTCGGCCATAGCCTCAGAAAGCTAGCAGATATTCTTGAATGTGACTCAAAAATGGAGCATTGTGTTGATGAACTATTTTTTAAAAACCTCCAACGAAGCCGGCTGCTTTTTGAGAAGAGGTGGGACGTCTGTGTTTCTTCTGCTGCCCTACAGACCCTCCGGCAAGCCAAGTGGAACACTCCGGACCTGCTCCCTCTGACTGAGGACGTTAGAGCCATGCATGCACATATTGAGGTATGTCGACCTGAATATGTGCAAACCCTAATAAGTGAGCCAACGTCTAAGCATTGGTCTAAACTGGCAGTTTTGACTCTTTGTGAGGTCATTATTTTCAATCGAAGAAGGGAAGGTGAGGTTTCAAAGATGCCACTGACAGCCTTTACCTTAAGAAGTAAGACTGGGATCCATTCTGACATTGCTCTGGGACTGTCCCAACTTGAGAAAAAGCTGTGTCAGCATTTTCAACGCATTGAAATTAAAGGGAAAAGAAGTCGGAAAGTGCCGGTTCTTTTGACTCCTGAAATAATTGCTTCGATGGAGGTGCTGGTGGAGAACAGAAGGGCCTGTTCCATCTCTGACCATAACCCATACTTCTTTTCCCGCCCGGGCGCAGACACCCACATCAGGGGATCAGACTCCCTACGCCAGGTAGCCAAAGAATGTGGTGCGGTGCATCCAGAGATGCTATCCTCAACCAAACTTAGAAAGCACATAGCTACTATGTCTACAGTTCTCAATATGAAAGAGAATGAGATGGACATACTTGCCAACTTCCTCGGCCATGACATTCGCATCCACAGGCAATATTACAGACTACCAGAGGGGACACTGGAGCTGGCCAAAATCAGCAAAGTGTTGATGGCCATGGAGCAGGGAAGAGTGACGGGATTCGAAGGAAAGAGCCTCGACCAGATACAAATTGAGCCTGAAGGTAATTCTTGATATTATTAAAATATGTATGATTTTTTTCCCCTAAAGGCCACTTGTATTTTTATTTTCTGTGCGACAGGGAGAGCAGTAGAGATCCTCTCACAAACGGACGGGCTAAAAAAAACTTCAAGCGGAGAACCTTCAACCATTCATCCAGATGCACCCCATGGTAGTGGCAGTGCCCCTTCTGGTAAGTGTACCAGGTGGGGGATTACAGCCAGGCTGCTTGGTCCTAACCCTGGGAGTGTATATTGCTAATATATGTTTATTTCTCTCCCTAGAACGTGTAAGAAAGCCATGGT